TTGCCAACAGCTGGGTCTCATTCATTAGCTGCTGCCTCCCTGCTCACAATGTCTGGCTGTGCTGGAGAGGAGCTGGCTGGCTTGTTCCCTGCCTGAGTCACCACGTGCAGCTCCTCAGGGAGTGTGGCCAGCAACCCTGGTGCACATACCCCTGTCCCAAAGCTGGAGGGCTGTATCTCCTGAGGGTTGGTGGAACTCCTATGGGTTGGTGGAACTGGGTTGGTGGAGCTCCTGTGGATTGGTGGAGCTTCTATGGGTTGGTGGAGCTCCTGAGGGTTGGTGGAGCTCCTGTGGGTTGGTGGAGCTCCTGAGGGTTGGTGGAGCTCCTGTGGGTTGGTGGAGCTCCTGTGGGTTGGTGGAGCTCCTGAGGGTTGGTGGAGCTCCTGTGGGTTGGTGGAGCTGGGACAGGAGCCTTGTCCACCCAGTCCTGCCCTGTGCCAGAGCGTGCACACCTCTGGCAGAGTGGGAATTGGCCTCTGAGTGTCCTTCCCTGCTGCTCAGGAACAATCTGCTGCTGGGGCCACTGCTGGTGTCCAGCCAACAGCCATGAGAAAGCTGCATCCCTGGCTGGGGTGCAACGGGGGACAGGGAGCTGAGAGGCAGGTGAAGATGGGGAGAAAAGAGTTGGATTTGGTAAAATAAGTGACCTCCAGAGCACAGCTCTGTGCTGGGCTCACAGCAAAGTGTGTCCTGGCCCGTCCAAAGTTCTGCTCAGGTTGTTGGTTCTTCCAATTCCAGAGGACTGGGGGGTGGGTCTATAAATCCCTGAGCAGGTAGAGGACCCTGGTGGGAGGCTGAGGGGGGTGTGAGGTGATGCAATTCCATCCTTTGTTGTTGTTTGGGCTGTTAAAAGCCACGGAGATGTGATGGCAAAGCATTTGTTGAAGCAGTGGTAGTTACAGGGTCAGGAATGTTGAAATCAAGGAAAGCCAGAGTTAAAATCTGTGGTGTAACCCAGAGTTGTGCCCCACACACAGGGGTGTCCAGCTCTGCTTTGTTCAGCCTGGCAGCTGGACAGGGAGGTGTGGGGTGGGAAATGAGTGAGATGGAAAGCAGAGGAGGAGATTTACTGGTCTCAGGTGATGTTAGTTGAGGATCTTTCTTGGAGAACTGGATCCTGATGCATCCTGTTTCCTCCGTGGTACCAGGGAGGTCACCAGTAGCAAAGCTCTTACAAGGGCCATGAACAGATGCTCTTCAGGAGGTTCATGGGGTCTGGGTTGTAGAAATGCTGCTACAGGCACAGCCACGAGAAGTCATTTGGAAACTGTGGGCACACAAAAGCTGTATGGAGAACCAGCCCTGGCCTCCCAGGTGAGCTGGGAAACCTTAGCAGATCCCTCCAGTGCTGGCCTTGTTTTGCATGTCCCAGAGTGTCCTTGCTCTGGAGTGGGGGTGACAGAAGAACTCTTGACGGGGACGAGCAGAGCTGTAGGTTGGTTGTGCTGTGGACTGTGCAGGCCACACCTGGAGTGTCCAGTTTGGGGCACCTCAATTCCAGAGAGATCTCCAGGTGCTGGAGGGAGGACAGAGGAGGGAACGAAGCTGGGGAAGGGCCTGGAGAATCAATCTGATGAAGAAAGCTTGAGGGAGCTGGGAATGTTTAGGCTGAGGAAGAGGAGGCTGAGGGGAGACCTCATCAGTCTCTGCAACCACCTGAAAGGTCATTGTAGAGAGGTTGGTGCTGGTCTCTTCTCACAGGTCATTAGTGACAGAACAGGAGGGAAGGGCTTCAAGCTGCACCAGGGCAGGTTCAGACTGGACATTAGGAAGGATTTTTTCACAGCAAGAGTGGTCAGACCCTGGAACAGGCTGCCCAGGGAGGTGGTGGAGTCACCATCCCTGGCTGTGTTGAAGGGTCATTTGGATGTGGTGTTGGTGGAGGTGGTTTAGGGGAGAACTTTGTAGAGCAGGGATGATGGTTGGACTGGGTGATCCCAAGGGGCTTCTCCAACCTGAATGGTTCTGTGATTCTATGATGGATTCTATGAAAAGAGGTGTCCACCAGCAGGCAGTGGTGGAATCTGAGCTAGGGAGAGGAGTCCAAAGGGACACACCACAGCCTTTAATTCTGGGGTTTCCTCACTTAGCCTTCCCCCGGGGGTCAGTGGCAGCCCTTGTGCATGTGCAATGTGACTGTATTTCTGTGCTCCTTCTGACGGGTACTGAGTGACTGCCGTTTTCTCATACTGAGATCTTTCAGGTGGAGTCCTCAATGACTGGTCTCGCATCACTATGAACCCCAAGGTGTTTAAGCTGCATGCCCGCAGCGGGGAGCTGGAGGTACTGGTGGACGGCACATACTTCATCTATAGTCAGGTAGAAGTGAGTACGGTCCTAGGCTAACTCCTATTCTTGTGTTCCAATGGAAGCCTTGCATGAACCACGAGAGGGCTCCAGACAACTACCAAATGCCAAGAGCTTGTATGTACTTTTAACCCCTTCGTGCTCTAGGAGGTGGGGGTCGGAGGAGGATGTTAGAGGCTGGAAGTGCCAGGTCACACGTTTCACGACGCCAACTGCCAGAGATTAGTTCCCAGACACACTGGGCAGATGCCCAACCAGACCCCACCAATGCCACCGTTGCCCTTTTTTTAATCCTCCCTCTTGTCTGTGCACTTCTAACCCTCCCTGCAGAGCAAGGGTCCCAGCAGGACAGCTAAGCTCTGTGCTTTCACAGAGGGCTATAAGACCAAAACCTGGACAGCTCGTGTTGATGGTGAAGCCACCTCACTCTTTGTAAGGGTAGGATTTCCAGCCCCAGGTGGCTTGGCCAAACTCCAGCCCACCTAACTCCATCTTGCCTTCACCTTCTTCATGTAGCATCAGACCAACACGCTGTTCCAGCAGCCCCACTGGGCAGGGGGATGGCTCAGCTGCTGCCTGAGCTGGGACCAAGGATGGATGCAGGGACCTGCTCCTGTGGAAAGGGCTTGAACAAAGCAAGAAATGAGAGTGTCATGGTTGAGTGCACAGCTAATGAAGGCATCATTTCCTCTCCCCGTCCAAATGAAATGCAGGGGATGGCGTTTAACTCCTTGGGGTCTTTTAAATCCCTGAACAGTTTCTGAGTTCTGTGGAGTGTGAGCTCCAGAGCTGTCCCCAGCCCTTCCAGAGCATGCAGGGCATCCATCCACCTGTGGACTGAAAAGCTGTCCAGGTCCTACACAGATGAGCAAAACAAGAGGGTTTTTGTGTCACAACCACAGTTAAGCAACTTCCAGCCTGCTCCAGGCTGTTAATGGTACCTCCTGCTCATGATTTGCCTCTGTTCAGTTGGCAGCCCTGCTGGGACTCCACCAAGTCAGATAAAGTGGGCTGTGGGGGTCACATGAGGTGCTCTTCCGTGGATCTAGTTACATGTCTGGTTTGGATGGGGAGAGGAAAAATAACTCTACCAAAAGTCTAATTGTTTCCCAAGTGCTTAGTGCTAATTGCTGGCCACAGCGTTGGGCTTTTGAAGCCTTTGTGTTTCCATCAAGGAAGGAGACTCAGTCTTGTGTAGCTTCTGTGGTCACAGGGTGTAGGCTAAGAAGATCTAGGAGATGCATCCAAAATGGCTGATTTTCTTCTGTCAGGCAGAAGCAGCTCCTGGACTGGTTCCTCTTTGGAAAGGGCTCTCTCGTGCTTCTTGAGGTTCTTCAGAACCTGTGTGGGAGATGATTAAGTAACGAGTAATGGAGTCATGGGGACTGAGGCACTAGATACAAGAGTTCAATCAGTACAAACACTAGAAGGTCATTTCCTTCCAAGCTGTGGAGGTTGGGAGAGTGTCTTCCCTGTAAGAGCCAGTGCCTTCGAGAGCACCTCCAGCCCAATGACAAAGGTGGCAGCTCCCAGTACATCTTAGGGCATTTTTGATGTCAACACTAAAGGAGGCTTATGGGACCCAGAAAGCAGGACTTTGCCAGGTAAGTGAAAGAGGACTTCAGTTAAAATATTTTTGATTGTTGGGTGAAAACCTGTCTGTAGCAGGTAGGGTTGTCTACGTGTTTGTGTGTCTGGGCCTGTGCAGGTTTGTAACGTTTCCTGTGATGAGCAGGGTCTAACGTGTCCTAGCTCAGCCTTGGAGATGTGGATCCCTGGGTACTTGCATGTTTGTGTTAGTATGGAGTGGAATACAGGGTTCTCTCCTATTTGGTTGGCTTGGGGTTCCTTCAGCCTTCAACAAACCATCTGCCCATGAGTGCTGGTGCCCTGGGGCCAAGGAAGGGATCCGTTAGCTGAGAGAACCCACATGCTGGAAGGAGTGTGGGCTTGTTCCTGGCACACAAGTACACGCCCCCTGACATCTTTCTTCTTCCTGCTTCACATCAGGTCTACTACATAAACTTCACAGATTTTGCCAGCTATGAGGTGGTGGTGGATGAGAAGCCCTTTCTGCAATGCACTCGGAGTATTGAGACTGGCAAGACCAACTTCAACACCTGCTACACAGCTGGGGTCTGCCTCCTGAAAGCCAGGCAGAAGATTGCTGTGAAGATGGTCCACGCTGACATCTCCATCAACATGAGCAAGCACACGACTTTCTTTGGGGCCATACGCCTGGGAGATGCACCAGCATCCTAGATGAACTTGGCGTGTCCAAGGACACTTCCAGAACTGCACAGTGCTGCTGTTCATAAAAGCCTATCAGTATTTCAGGGGGTTCTGTAATCCAGCCATAAGGAAAACTGATCCAGAGCTATTTATTCCTATATGTGAATGCAGGAAGCACAATTGTCTTCTGTGACTTGCATGGAGACTTAGATCCAAAAAAAAAAGCTAGTGGGGACAAAACAAAAAGTGTTGTGAGGAAGAAAGGCTGTTGTGTCTGCCTTGTCTCAGTATTTCAAGTATGACTGCACTGATATTCTGCTCTGTGGTCTTCACACGAGGCTTGTTGAGAGTGGTGTGGGTCTCTGCTTTCATGTTGCACTAGCAAGAGCATCCCAGGTGGTAGCAGGAGGAGGAAGCCAGACTCCTGTCCCAGTTGTCCCAGCCAGGCCCTCCTGCTCCTGCACCTAACGAGAGCAAGAAAAGGGGGAGTCTGGTTTTCTGCCCTCCAGGTTGGAACTGGCAGGGCCACAGGGTGCGAGGGGAGGTGGGTCAGAGGGGGGAGGTGGGTCAGAGGGGGTCAGTGGTGTTTACATTCATCCTCAGGTGGCCAAGTGGCCCTGCCTGGAGCCTGGAATCAGGCTGCAAGAGCAGCCAGGGCCAGGGGAAGATGAAGGCTCTCAGAGCAGGCTCAGCAGGTCAGAAACTGCCTCCACAGCCCAGAAATCACCACGTCCCAAAGAAAACACCAGTGTCCTCTGCTCCTTTCATCTCCTGCCATGACCCCAGAGGTGTTCCCTGCCCTCAGGGGGGCTGCCTTAACCTACTGCTGCTGTTACAGCAACCTGTGTTTTGGTGAGGTTTTTGGGTTGGGAGGTTGTTTGAGTTTTGGTTTGGTGTTTTTTGGTCTTTTGATTAATATTTTGCAGACCAGAACACATTTCTACAGGCTTCACCAAGCCACGTAGAGCAGACACAAGTATTTGTGGCAACACTCTTGAAAAAGTTTGTCATGTTTAAGAATAAAATATTCCAACAGGATTTTTAATTAATTTTTTTTTCCTGGTTTTAATAGCAGCTGTCCTGGTTTTAGATGTGGGGGTTTTTTACCCTTCCTCCCCCTGCTCCCTTTCCTTTTGGCACCCTTCTACCTAAAATGTTCTAATAAGTGCTGATGGAGTCTTTAGCAAAAAAAAAAAAAGTCCTCAGGTGGCCAAGTGGCCCTGCCTGGAGCCTGGAATCAGGCTGCAAGAGCAGCCAGGGCCAGGGGAAGATGAAGGCTCTCAGAGCAGGCTCAGCAGGTCAGAAACTGCCTCCACAGCCCAGAAATCACCACGTCCCAAAGAAAACACCAGTGTCCTCTGCTCCTTTCATCTCCTGCCATGACCCCAGAGGTGTTCCCTGCCCTCAGGGGGGCTGCCTTAACCTACTGCTGCTGTTACAGCAACCTGTGTTTTGGTGAGGTTTTTGGGTTGGGAGGTTGTTTGAGTTTTGGTTTGGTGTTTTTTGGTCTTTTGATTAATATTTTGCAGACCAGAACACATTTCTACAGGCTTCACCAAGCCACGTAGAGCAGACACAAGTATTTGTGGCAACACTCTTGAAAAAGTTTGTCATGTTTAAGAATAAAATATTCCAACAGGATTTTTAATTAATTTTTTTTTCCTGGTTTTAATAGCAGCTGTCCTGGTTTTAGATGTGGGGGTTTTTTACCCTTCCTCCCCCTGCTCCCTTTCCTTTTGGCACCCTTCTACCTAAAATGTTCTAATAAGTGCTGATGGAGTCTTTAGCAAAAAAAAAAAAAGCACATATATATATATATAGTATGTGAAAAGTCTGGTCCAGCATGAAGTCACCACTTTTTCTTTTCTCTGAGCCCTGCTGAGTCCAGTCACAACTCGATTTCTGGTGACTAATAGAAGAGCAGGGACACTATTGTTTCTTTTGGCTTCTTGAGCAACTCTCTCCCGTTACCTCCCCTCAACTGGGGGGATCTGGAGCTATAAGATGTGCTGGAGCTGAGCAGGAGGCAGGAGCACTGGTGGCTGGTTTGTGTCGTGCTCGGGTTTGTGCTCGTGCTCGGGTTTTGTGGGGAGGGGGCTTTGCTGGATTTCTCTTCAGAGCACAGTTTGTGGTATTTTTTTTTTTCTTTAAAAGATAAAAGTTTCAGCCTATGTAGCAAAAGGGGGTGAGTCCCAAATTGAGGGCTTGGTGATGACCTCTTGCTCCAAGCAGAGGTGGCTCGGGGGGGGGGTCACCTGCAGGGAGGTGGGAGCAGACGTGTCCCAGCGCCTGGTGTGGCCACAGAGGGTCCACCCTGGCTGAAGGATTCTTGGCTCTCTCCCTTTCCCCCATCCATAGCGAGTGATCTCACTTGCCAAGCATTGCAGTTACTGAGAGATAAATATTTCTTGGGGGCACCCAGCTTTGGCTAGAGCCTGGCTATTCACAGGAGGCGTGCAGTTTGTAAAATAACTGCATGAAAAATTGCCTGCTATTTCTTTTTCAATATGTTCTCCTCCTTTCTAGCCTTCACATGTTGGACAAGCAAGAGCCTTAGGGGCTCTTTGCTAGTCTTTGTGGTTTATTTCCTTTAAAATGGATTAAGAAGGACATGTTCCTCTGACAAGAATGAATCCGGACAACTGTGTATAGTGAGAACATTAAGCAAATCATTAACAGAATTGCTTTAGAATGCAGCAAGACTTAGGGGCAAGAATAAATAACACAGTGACTTGGAAGAGTGTGATGGATGGAGTTTGCATTCCTTGTCCCCCGCTGGCAGGATCTGTGATCTGCTGCTGGGGCAGCAGGCAGGAGGAGGCAGGAGGAGAAGCCTTGTCTCTGCACCACCTCAGGTTCCCTCTCCAGCCTGTGCCTGGGATGCAGGAGGGAGAAGTTCCTGCCATGGGAGGTGTTGATGGGCTTTCTGGGATGCTCGTGTCACACCGAAGCTTGAGCTGGGTGTAGCCAAGTTGGAGACGTGGAGATGGAGTTGGATGTGGAGTTGGAGAGCAGAGAATACCTGAGGGCAAGTGGCCTTGGTGCCCAGATCTGTCTTCACCCCTGGGGTGGGTGGGCAGGTCCTGTAGCAGCCGTGGGGAGTCTTTCTACTTGAAACCCTTTGGCACCTCTAGCAACAAGTTCTCGTTGGTGAAGCATTGCAGTGCAGGTTCCCTAGGCTGTAACATGGCTTCTTCTGCATGACCCTTCTCCAGATGGTGTCCCCACTGGCTGCCCATGTGCCAGCCCTCCTCTCTGGGGGCATTCCCTGGCTTTGCTGTTTCCCCCATGCCTGGGCTCTGCTGCTCACCCTGGGGCTGGGCAAACAGAACACATAACACATCAGCCAAAACCCTCCTCTCTCCCAGGCTGCCCCCTATGGAGACAACATCTAGGGAAGCCACTTCCAGTTGTGTTCAGAGCCCCCTTGGAGGGAAGGATTCCCTTCAGTAAAGGCTCTAGGTCATGGCTCCCTACCCAAAACTGCCTTTGCTTCCTCACCCAAGTAGGTGGTTGTGGTCCCCCTGCCACCTCCTGTCCCCACCAGGGGACTTGGCTTTGTCCTTCCACCATCAGGGGCTTACAAAAGGGCACCCGAGCCATGCAGGGAGGGAGGTGACAAAGTGCATTTGCTTGTTCATCGTTCTTCCCCTCTTCCTGGGAGGAGGTGGAGCAGGGAGTCCCCAGCTGTGGGCTGGTGGCATCTGCCCTGGTTCCTGTCCTGGCCCCATCCAGCCCTGGCTCAGGATCAAGGGGAAAGGGACAACTGCAGCTGCTCTTGGTGGCTGTGCCCACTTAGAAGCCTGGCCCCCACACCATGTTCCTCACTCCTGGGCTGGGAAGAAGCCTCAGATTCCAAAAAAAAAAAAAGCCTAACAGGTTGTGGGAAGAGACACATTCCCTGTGAGAGCTGCACGGTGATGAACTGATGCTGTTTTGTGCTTCGACATCCTTATTCAAGACACTATCTGTACATAAAATATACATAATGTATATAAATTAGGATGTAAGTTTATGTAAATTGTCAATATTTTCTTTGCAAATAAAGCTTTTTCCTGATCTCGGTGCTCTGGGTGGGATTTCCTTCCCCAGCCAGACCAGGAGGTTCTGTGGAAAGGATTTTTGAGGTGCTGGTGTGGTGGGAGGTGGCTGGAAGGCAAAGCAGCTCCAGCCTCCAGGGCAGGCAGCTGCTGCCAGAGGTGCCAGTCCCCTGGGGAAGTGGCTTTATCCCCTTTCCTGCCCATCCTCTGTCCTGCTGCTCATTCTTCCCATCCTTTGGAGACCTGTGGAATCCTCGGGGGACAGGGCATCGCTCTTTAACTGGAGACATGGGGGCCAGGAATGGTGAGGAGCAGGGGATGCCCTGTGATTTTCCAGCACCAGTCCCTGCCTGTTCCTGCTGCACGGTTGGCTCTGCCCTGGGCACAGTCCCTGGGAAGCCCTGGGGTGTTTGTGGGTGCCTGGGCTGGCGCTCGGCTGGACACTCCTGCAAAGGGAGTTCACAGCCTTGGGAGGCAAATGCCCAGGGATTCTCTGCAGAAGTCCCTGATAAAAATGAGGGACTTTCAGCTGATTTCACCGGCCGTGCCCACCACGTGGGCCCCGTGCCCAGCACTTTGGGATGCAGGGAGGAGAGGGTCGGGGTTCCCCGGCCAAGGCGATGCTGGGGCTGGAAGCCCTCCCAGGGTGGTTCCTCCCCTCCGTGGCCCTTCTGCTTTTGGGGCTCTGCTGCTGGGAGCACAGGGAGCCAGAGGCAAAGGTTCATCCAGAGGTCAGCGTTTCCCTGGCCAGAGCCTGCGGGATTGCACATCTGCACAGATGTGCTGTCCTCCCAGCTGGAGCCCAGGGCTGGGAGGGCAGCAGGGAGGGCAGCAGCCCCCAGCACCAGGCCTGGCCTCGGGGCTGCCCGGGCTGCCTGTCACCACTGTGCCCTGTCACCAGGGCTGTGCCCTGGCTGGTGACATCGGGCTGAACCAGGTCCTGGAGGTGGCAAAGTGCTCCCTGCCACGGCAGCTGTCGGGAGCAGAGCCCGGGATGCTTCGTCTTCCAGATGTGGCTGTGTGTGTCTGTGGCTGTGTGTGTGGCTGTGGGTCTGTGTGTCTGTGTGTGTGGCTGTGGGTCTGTGTGTCTGTCTGTGTGTGTCTGTGTGTCTGTCTGTGTCTGTGTTTGTGTCTCCGTGTCTGTGTGTGTTTGTGTGTGTTTGTGTCTCCGTGTCTGTGTGTCTTTCTGTGTGTGTCTGTGTGTCTGTTTGTGTCTCCGTGTGTGTCTCCGTGTCTGTGTGTCTGTGTGTGTTTGTGTGTGTGTTTGTGTCTCCGTGTCTGTGTGTGTTTGTGTGTCTCTGTTTGTCTGTGTGTCTGTGTGTGTGTCTGTTTGTGTCTCCGTGTGTGTCTGTGTGTCTGTCTGTGTCTGTGTGTGTCTCTGTGTGTGTCTCTGTATGTGTTTGTGTCTGTCTGTGTGTCTCTGTATGTATTTTTCTGTCTCTGTGTGCGTTTGTGTGTTTGTGTCTGTGTGTGTTTGTGTCTCTGAGTGTTTGTCTCTGTATGTGTTTGTGTCTGTGTGTCTGTCTGTGTTTGTGTGTGTCTGTCTGTGTGTGTGTCTCTGTGTGTTTATACATTTTTTTCCTGCATTTTATATCTAGATAAAATGATGGGTTGTTTCCTGCCAGGCACGTCCAGAACCACAGCAACAGCTCTTCCTGGGGCAGCCACTCAGCAGCTGCTTCAGATGGGAAAGGGTATTTGCCACATTGAGCCAAAAACCCCAGAAGTGTGTGTTTTGCCCCATGTAGCACCGTGTCCCTGGGGAGTGTGTCACTGCTGGGTGGCATGGGGACATGGAGGTGTCACTGCCAAAAATCCCTGTGGGTCTGGTGCAGCCAGGTTCCACCTGGAGCTGCTGCAGGGACAGTCCCTGTCTGGTTCCTGCCCAGGGTGAGGAAGGGACCCAGCAACCATTGTCCTGCTAGGACATGGCAGTGAGCCCAGCAGGAGCAGCAGGGTGGGCTACTGGGGAGGAAGAGGAGGAGGAGGATGCCAGCCCCACACATCCCACTGGGAATGGGTGATAAACCCCAGGGAGCTGCTGTTGCCCTGAGGTGCTAAGGAAAAGTCCCCTCAGCTGGGATACAGCAGTGCTAAGAGGGGAATGTGCTCTGCAGGGTGCAGGGAGCTTACCTGTGGGCTTGCAGATGCCAGGAACCCAGGTGGATCCCAGGAATCCAGGCAGAGCCCAGGAACTGGGATGACCAAGGAGCCTTCACTGGCTTTTCCTGGCATCCTCAGCCCCACTTGCCCACGGGGAGCTGGCCCAGGGCAGAAGAAGCTGGAAGAAGAGCAGGTCCAGGCAGGGAAATTCCCCCAAAAAACACCTCTCAGCTTCCCCAAGTGCCACCTCTGCCTCCTGACACTCGACTCCAGCCCATCACCTGAGTGCTGGTGCAGCCCTGTCTCCTCCCCGTCCTGCTG